ACCTTGTTTTGTAATCGGATCTCATCAACGCATTCACATCAGCCCCCAATCCGCCGTGGACCACAGCGGGTCCACCTCCATAAACCCGAACCCGCCTTGCCCCGAGATCATGTCAATAACATAGCCATCGCCACTGGCTCCCATGAACGCCTGCCCGCCAAACCCCTCCCCAACCTCCATCGACGACATCACCCCAGGCACCAACCCCCCCTCAGCTCCAGACCGCATACATCCCTTCCCACCACCAACACCGCGATCCAACCGCCCCTCTCCCTTCATCACCGCCATCTTCCCCTGAATATCCCTCACAATCCGCGGCACCTCCCTCCCCGCACCCCCACCGCGCTTCACCACCGCCTCCCACGCCCTCAACACCACCCCCGCAAACAACCCAAACACCGGCTCATGCCGCCCCTCTCCAAAATCCGCATCCATCCCCCTCGCCTCATAATTCTCGCTCATCGCCCCCCACACTTCATCTTCCCACCCCCTTTCCACCGCCGTACTACCCCCACCACCACCAGCCGTTGCAATAGCCCCCGCCAGCGCGATATACGCCAAAAACGGAAAGTGCGACACCACATGCCACCGGAACCCTCGCGTCAGCGGGGAGGTCATCAGGCAGGTGTCGCAGCGCAGCATGGCGAGGGCGTGGGGGACTACACTCTCTCTGACCTGTTCGGTGTGCGGGGTTCTGTGTGGGGTTGGGTTGGGGCGAGTCCGAGGTCTGCGCAGCAGTAGTGGTAGTAGCAGTGGAAGCTCGCCGCGCGCAGTATTCGAGCAGGCGGCTGCGGGCGACGAAAGCGCGCGCGGTCCAGAGGGTGTGATAGTGCAGGGGGATGGTGGGGCGCAGGGGGTGAGTGCGCGGGTGAGGGTTTGGTGCATGGGGAGGAGGGGGTCGTTTTGTTTTCCTCCTCGTGGGGGGGGTTCGTTGGGGTGAGGTGCTTGGGTTTCGGTGAGGGCGGCGAGATGGGGGTCCGTGAAGTCGAGGTGGAAGGCGCAGTGGCGGAGGATGTTGCTGAGCTGGCCGCGGACGAGGATGAATAGCGCTTCGGTGGGTTTGTCGTGCACGGAGGGGGTGGTTTTCATGTCTGGGAGGAGTTCGAAGTTGTTGAGGTTGAGCGGCGTGCGGCAGTTCCAGGTTGGGGCCATGATACCGGTCCGGTAGTTGTACGTCTCGCAGATGCGGCTGTTGAAGATCACTAGGGCCCACCATAGCCGTCGGCGCATCTCGGCTTCGAGAACGGGGCGGGTTTCGTTGGTGGACTCTTTGTGGTAGCCCAGACGTTGGGCCATGTGGATGGCAACGGCCAGCATGGAGGATAGCGATCGAGGGTCCACGCCGGGCTTCAAAGATACCTGGCCGAATGAGTTAGAATAGAATCTCCTCAAATGTTTGCTCTCAGGGAAGAATTACCAGATAAAGAAAGAAAGCCACGAGACAGTCATGATCGCTCGACTGCAAAAGATTGGAGTTGAGCAGTGCTTGCTGGCAAGCGAACTGGTAGCCGCCCAGGAGATCCTTCCTTGGTGACCCAAACAGAGTCTGGCATTGCTCCTCGTCCAAGCTCAGAATAGCCGTACAGTAAATGCTGAACAGGAGGGCCTCCAACGGTGGGCTGATACTCGAAAGGTCGCTGATGGCGTCGATGATGCGCCCCTGAAGGCTGGGTGTGTGCGTCACCTTCAACAGGGGGTTCACGTTGTCCAGGTAAATCTGCCAGAGCCGAAAGACTTTCCCTTGGTCGGGGTGCATAGTGGTAACGGGGACTGCGCTCGCGGGTGAGCCAAAGAGAAGATGGTGGCTGGTTTCCGGAACGTTGTTGTAGGTGCGATCCCACACATTGTTGATGACGTCGCCCATGTCATCGTCGTCACGCAGAAGACGACTATCTCGCTGAACATCGTCTAGCCCGTCCTCACTGCCATCTTCCGTCTCTGATTTCTTGATAGCAACATTAGCTAATTATTTCCGAAGGTAGACGGTGTATATCGACTTACGTTTTGACTCAGGGCTTGCCAGAGGTTCCTAGAGATAGTCAGCAATTAGATCCGCCAAGCAAGCTATAAAGACCGAATAATAGTGTGACAAACGTTGTCCTTGGTTTGGTGGTCTTCTCCTGATTGACCGCGTCAGAGTGAGTGGTGCGCGGAGTATCAGGCGTGGCGGTATCGATGGGGGACGAGTCGGCTGCGGTCGCAGTGGCGGCACTATTGGCTGCAGGCGGGTGTAACGGGTCAAAGGGAACATTGTGTTGGCGGAGCAGGGTTTCGTAATGACGGATGCGAGCGAGAAGGTCGCGCTCGGGGAACCTGCGGCGTCGTTGGCGTGGGACAAGGGTAGCGGGGACACAAGGGGTGCCCCCGCGGGTGCAGTTCCCACAAGGGAACTTGCGGTCACACTTGACCTTGCGCTGCTGGCACAATTGGCAAGCCAATACACGCTGCGACTTCCCCGCAACGCGGTCCGACTGCGGTGCGGCCCGGTGGTCCATCGGTATGTACCTATGCTTTGATGTCATCAGCCGTCCGAGAGTCCACAAGTCCAACAGTCCAAGGGAGCTTGCAGTTCCCGAAACCTTGGCAAAGCTTGTCTCGGCCCCGAGAGTGAGCGGTGAATGAACCAATAAGGGGCGAGCTAACCTTGCAACAGGCTCCACGTGAAGGTGCGTCCTTACTTCGTACGCCAACGCTTTCCGGCTGAGAATTGACTATTAGGGTTGATTGCTTCTCAGTAGAGCTGCCCAAACAGAGAGAAAAAAAAATGATAAACCCCGCTCGAGTTACCAAAGTAGGGCTATTCCATCTGGCGGATCGGTCCTTTGCTGACGTAGTCTCGGGACTTAGCTTTCCCCGAGCAGCCTCCGCTTAGACTCGGGCGTTAGAAAGTCCCGAGAATCAACACCACTCCCAACTTCGTGTTCACAGAAGCCCGAGTAATAAAAATGTTTAGTCGTAGTTAATGATAGAAACCCCGAGCGATGTCCCGTACATAAACTTGAAAAAGCCAGGCCCGGAGCCAAGCCCAGCGACAGCAGTTTAGAACACAACTTCCGGATCGCTTGTCGTTCGAGTCTTCGACGCATATTCGTAGAGAGGACTATTGATATACCAAGCAACCAAAATCAACCAACCTAACACACACCCCATAAAAAGGTAAAGCACACCTACCAGTCGCCATGACGGCTCGCCCTTCCACGCCCATACCCAGCAAGCCCGACTCAAAGCCCGAGGAGTCATTGGACTCGGGACCCGCCCGCGATGCATCCGATGGCTCTAATCTAGAAACCCCAAAAGTGGAGGGCGAGCAGTTGGTAGAACTGGACAAGGCCACCAAGGTCCTCCTAGTAGCCTCAGTCCTGCTCAGCATGTTCCTAGTCTCCCTAGATAGAACGATTATCTCGACGGTATGAACTAACACCCGCACCTTCGCCCTACATTGCCAGTTATAGGCTCATGCTAATTATGAACTAGGCCATACCCGCCATCTCCGACGAGTTCAGCTCGCTCAACGACGTCGGCTGGTATGGCAGCTCGTACCTCCTCACATCCTGCGCTTTCCAGCTGCTGTTTGGCAAAATCTACACCATCTTCTCCGTCAGGGCCGTCTTTCTTGTCAGCATCCTGCTCTTTGAGATTGGCTCCGCCATCAGCGGCGCGGCTCCCAGCTCGGTGGTATTTATTGTCGGGCGAGCCATTTGTGGGGTTGGTGCTGCAGGCCTCTTCGCTGGAACCGTGAGTCCCCTTAAATACCCCTTACCAATACTTGGCTGACCACGGCATCCCAGATCGTCTCCATCATCTACATTGTCCCACTCCACCAACGGCCCAAGATCCAAGGCCTGTTCGGCGCCCTGTTTGGCATTGCCTCCATCGTGGGCCCGCTGATCGGAGGCGCATTCACTTCCAACGTGACCTGGCGATGGTGCTTCTACATCAACCTCCCCATCGGTGGCGTGGCTATGGTAGTGATCGCCCTCTACCTCAAAGTCCCTGATCGCCAGTCGACAAAACTGCCCCTGGCCCAAAAGATCCTGCAGCTCGATCTTCTGGGAACGTCGGTTCTCGTGCCAGGGGTGGTGTGTCTCCTGCTGGCACTGCAATGGGGCGGTCCAACATATCCTGTAAGCTACTGGCCCCCTTCCATCCCCCTTTTTTTCTTCTTCCCATCACCACCCCGCACTCCCGCTCCCCCAACCAACAATACTAACCCCCCACCCCCTCCACAGTGGAACGACGGCCGCATCATCGCCCTCCTCACACTCACCTTCGCCCTCCTCATCGCCTACATCACCATCCAAGCGACCCTCCCCGCCACCGCCACCATCCCAGGCCGGATCGTCCGCCAACGCAGCGTGATCTCGGCGCTCTGGGCGACCATCTGCCTCAACGCGGGCAACTACCTGTTCATCTACTTCCTGCCGATCTGGTTCCAAGCCATCGCGGGGTCGTCCCCCGTCGACTCGGGCCTCCGCCTGCTGCCCGTCATGCTCGCGACCGTGGTCGGGTCGGTGGTGGGCGGGTTTGTCAACGCCCGCGTCGGCTACTACACGCCGCTGGCGATTGTGGGGTCGTGCGTGGCGGCGGTGGGGGCCGGGCTGTTGACGACGCTGCGGGTTGGGTCCGGCGCCGGGGCGTGGATTGGGTTTCAGGTCGTGTATGGGCTGGGGCTGGGGACGTGCTTCCAGGCGCCGAATCTGGCGGTGCAGGCGGCGCTGCCGCAGGGGGATGTGGCGATGGGGATGGCGCTGGTGTTTTTTGGGTCGTTGGTTGGGTCGACGGTGTTTGTGTCGGTGGGGCAGAATGTGTTTACGAATGAGCTGGTGCGGCGGCTGGAGGGGTTTCCGGGGTTTGAGGTTGGGTTGGTGACGTCGGGGGGTGTGACGGCGCTGCTGGAGGCGCTGCCGTGGGAGGTGCGTGGTGAGGTGCTGGTGCAGTATAATGAGGCGCTGCGGGGGGTGTTTCGGGTTGGGTTGATCGTGACGTGTTTGACGGTCTTGGGTACGACCACGCTGGAGTGGTTAAGCGTCAAGAAGCCGCAGCCAAAAGCAGACGAAACCGGTGATGTGGTTGAAGAGGAGAAGAAGGTTGGGGCCCCGGTGGAGTAGTTAAGTTGTTATTAGGTGGAAGGCTAACGGGAGGGATGCTATGGGTAATGCGCTTCGCTTCTAAGTTGGAACTGGATTAGTGTATAACACCTGTAACTACACGTAGGGCGCAAAATAGATGTTGTAGACGGTTAGTTATTTCCTGAATACTAGCTGGGTACCTATTATCCGCTACCTGATCTGATCTTCAATCTTCCATCTCGGATGCTTGTGTTTGTGTCCTCACTCTGGTCTAACGTGAACTGAAACTCGAACGAAACGGCTCGATCGGACGATCGCAAATGTAACTATCGACTGTGACACCCAGGTATGAAGGTTGATAGACCTAGTCATACTAAGCAAGTTCATCCAGTTAATAGTGTAACAAAAGGAAAAACAATGTAACCGCGATTGTGACACTCAAGCAGTGTTTGTTTATGTCTACCTGCCCCCTTTTCTCACTTATGATCCTAATACTATATAGTTTATTCCCTCTGGACTGACGGTGTTCTCGAAGGCTTCGTAACTTGACCTTAGAGAGAAAGTGGTAGCCTAACGTTACCGTAAGCGCGCACCTGCGTCCCTACTTTACTAAAACTTACCCCTTTTCATAAAATTAACGTTAAACGATGAACCCTCCCCAATTTCCACACCCACCCCAGGCAGAGGGGCCAACCGCTCCTTGATACTACTTACGTGCTCAAGCCACAAGCGTCAAGTCCTAGTGGTAGAAGGCATCTAGGAGATGGATCCGATCGAACTGGGTGCCGTGCCAGGTGGATTCGGGATGGAGGAGACCTACGCTCTTGTTGGAGGAAGATGTTTCGGTTGAGATGACGAATTTGGTGCCCTCGCCGTTGGTAACGGGGTGGCTGAGGTTCCAATCTCCAGTGGGGACTGTGTCGAAGAACGGGTTACTGGCGCCCTCTGGGGGTTTGGGAGCGGTCAGATAACGAGTAGCAGGGCCTTCGTGAGCGTCCGTAGTCCCGGGAACTGGATTACGGATGCGAGAGACAACCAGCCCGGTGGTCGGCTCCTGGTGGGCGTCCTCAGCAGTGAATGGTACCAAAGATGCTATGGCTGATAGAAGCGAGGCGTCGAGTTATGAATAAGACTAGGGGTATGTACATGTAGTACGTGCGACGAAAGAAGGCCAGCCTAGGCTGGTGATGAATGGGATTGCGGCTTTGATCTCCAAATAGCCTAGGTACCTAGATAAGGTCAGGCCGCTCGTGTATGGTGACCCTGGGTCCCAGACAATGAGAGCCCATCCAACGCTGGCGGTTTTGCAGACGGTGCATTTGACGGCCCCCGAAGTGCCAGTTGAGGACTGAGAGGTCTTCACCTGGACCAGGCCCGGTTGTTGGGTTGATCGCCCTGGCCATCTAACTTCACGGGTCAAACGACTACTACGTGGAGATTCATGTTTCCGTCCTCCCTACAAAAACAACAACGTTTTAATCTTCGTTGCTGTTCAAAGACTACCGCTTCTTGCCCTCGTAACCACCAAGTTCTGGACCTTTCTTAGCAGACACAAAATTCCATTGTATGTGTGGGTATTGAGAACAAAACCCGCACCGCACCGCACCACAGCAAACCCCCAATCCCAAGCGAGACACGAGCGATCAACGCATTCAAATCTCGCAACCCGACCCGAGGCGACCACTCGTCAGCCACTCGTCAACCGACCGACCACTCGCCAAACCACCCACGCCCCCCCCCCCAAAACACCAATCACCCCATCCCAAGACGTAACATCAATCCAACCCCACCCCACCCACCATGCCACCATGCCCTGCTGCAAGAAAAAGGGTGTGGTTACATCCACTTCTTTGCCTCAGTGAGGTACCCTCTGTGTGTGTGTCGCACAAAAGCGATCTGTCCGGCAAAGGCCCGCGTTAGACCCGGGATTGCAGGGTTGCGTTGGAAAGGATTGAACCGTGCCAGCGGGAAGGATGAGCAGTCCCGGTCAGTGCCGCATCTCTGTACCACACTATCAACAAGCGGTTCTGATTCTGATATGAACCAGAGGCTGAAACGGGGTTGCAGAAAGAAGCACAAGAAGCACAAGAATCACCGTTGACATTCCTGTCTCAGGTCCGGCATGATCCAAAATCAAGCCGACCCAGGAACTCGCTCAACAGCGGGCATGCAGCAACGACATGTAGGACCTTGGTTTCAAAACCACTGGCCACCTATACTGTGCAACAACCGTTTCAAGTGGGTCGTGTCACATACTACTGTACCTACCCGCTGCGTTATCTCTATTGCTTTTTCCCTTTTGATATAGAGAGATCCTTGTCAAATTCACGATTACCAGATATGCTATATGGAATCTATTACATGGTAGAAATATACACGCCGGTGACCGGGTTATGGCAGCTGGGAAGCCATGCAAAGAGAACGCCACCCGGTGCTTTTCCAAATATCCAATAACTAACCAATATGTTGTCCCAATACGCTTAATACGCGTACCGGAACTTCTTGTTTTCCTTGTCCGTCATGTTGGCCCACGCCTCGGGTGACATGTAGGCCTCCTCCTGTTCGCCTTCAGACGTGCGCTTCTTGTTCTGCCAGACGTAGTACAGGAAAAGGAGGAAGGTGGTCAAGGCGCAACCCGCCTGGGTGCCCATGACAGCAATCTTTGCAGGGCGGTACTCCGGTGCATCTTTGGCTTGGAAGGTCTGGGGGCCAATGATGTTACCGAGTGAGAACGAACCGCTGATGAGCGCGGCAGCGAAGGCACGCTTGGTGCCACCTCCGATATTGGCCACAGTCCACTGTAAAGCATGTTAATTACCAAACTACCCCTACAAGGAAACAAGGGCAGTCCTTACATTGTAGAAGATGGCGAGCGGTGCAACGACGGCGTTGACAAGGTAGATGCCAGCCAGACAGCCGGCCCTGTTGGTGATCGGGAGGAAGGACATCAACGCGCCGCCGATGATTCTTGTGTGTCAAGTTAGTCAAGGAGTCCCATGGAATTGCTGGCAGAGTCCGTGACTTACGCAGGGATGATGCAAGCAATAATGAAAGCCCAGCGGTGGGACTGCAGGCGGATACCGAATCCAACAAACAGCGTGAAGAAAATGCTGACGGCGCCCGACGGCGTGTTCATCAGAGCAGATTGCTTAGAATCATACTGAAGGCCACGGATGAGGGTGGCGGAGTAGGATGTGACGACACCGCTAGAAACGGACAGCTAAGGCAAGATATGAGTTAGCAAGTTGCAGTGACTCGGGCGTTTGTGGGCAGGTACTCACCAAAATAACGGAGAGAAGCAACAGATAGATCTGGGGGTCCAGCAGGGCCTCGACAATCTCCTTCCCGCGGAACTTGCGGTTCTCGATACCGGTCTGGTTAACACTGACGTGCTTTAGCAGCGCCACCTTCTCGTTGCTGGATAGCCATTTCGCCTTCATCGGGGTGTCAGGAAGGAAGAGGACGACGCAGGACCCGACGACCACGGTGACCACTCCGAGGACGACAAACATGATCCGCCAGCCGGCAAGACGGGATCCTTCGCCAATGTGCTGGAAGCCATACGACACTAGGCCGCCGACGATCTGCCCAATTCCCAAGCCAGTGTACCAGAACGAGAAGCGCGGAGCCTGCTCCGACTTGGTATACCACTGGCTGCTAATCAGCATCAGCGACGGAGCAATGGTGGCCTCGAAGATGCCCAAGAAAACACGCGAGACAAGAAGCGTCTGGTAGCTGGTGGCAGCAGCACCGCAAGCAGTGGCCGTGCCCCAGAGGATGACATTCAGACCGAGCCATTTGGCGGCAGGGACGGCTTGAAGGAAGTAGACTGGAAGCACGAACGGTCAGCACCGTGGTGGCACCATCCCGATGGGATCGACGGGGGTCTTACTGTTGGGAACCTCAAAGACCAAGAGACCGACGAAGAGGAAGGTTGCGACATTCGAGAAGTCGTTGCCCCCCATATTCAGGTCCTTCTGCAGGCCCATCACATTGGCATACTGCGTGCAGGTGATACAGGATTAGCCGCCGCCCTGTGGGGTGGATGGGAAAACGGATCAGCCTCTTACGTTGAGGATGACCTTGTCGAGAAACTGCAGCGTGTAACACAGGAACATCAAAGGCACGATATGCCAGTCGATCTTGCGGCGCAGGGCCGCGAGATCAATTGGCTCGCTGGTATCAGCATCCCGATTGGCGTCGAGGTACTTCCAGGCAGTATCCAGCTCGCCTGAAGCACCGTCGCGCACCGTCTCATTGACGTCGACTCGGTCCTTTGCGCTGTTTTTGTCCGAAGTCGTCGACATGGCGGGCGGTTGAAAGTTCAGGAACCGAGAGAGAGAGCGCAATGACCTCGCGGGAGGGAAGCCAACAATTAATTTGAAGACAAGACGAACGAACGGACGGGAAGGGAGGACGAGGGGCGGGAACCGGGGGCACAGCAAGGAGATCTCGGTCAGACAAAACCAAAGACTGACGGACCCGGGGAACGGCTGGGGGAGGAGATCGGCAGAGTTGGCCAGGTGCCACGGGTTGCAGTGCCGGAGGGAACACGGGAGAAACGAAGGAAAAATTCAGAAGGGAAGGAGAAGATCAACCACCAACATAAATTGATGAAACGTGGGCCGAATGCAGGCACCAGCACCAGCAGCGCAACAAGTTTAAAGGAGGGAAGGCAAAGATGCCGAGGCGACGACGCGCATATGCTGTTGGTTCTTGCCCCGGCGAGCGAGCCATGGTGATTTCAGCCAGGGTCTTGGGGGCCACTTTCCTCACTCACAACACAAAGTACCACGAAAGAACCCCTTGCGATGCAACAAAGTCGATAAACGGGATAGATCTGGAAATGGCTGTAACCGAAACACAAATCATGGGCCGGGGGTCTGGAGCACGAAGCACGATTAGGACACAGAGACAGTGTGAGAGGGCAAGGGGCGTCGCGAAATTCACTGTTCAGGTCGAACTGACCAGGGTGGAGATGGTGCAACCCCACCCTTGCATGGCTCTTGCCTTCCAGGGTGTTCCCAACCCCTGCCTCACCCCCCACCGAGACCACCACAACAGGAAGCCGCGAGACTGGCTCTGTTGTTCCCTCCCTTGTCGGAAAGGCATCCCCGTCCGCACCTGCTGCGCCCAGACGGCACAGCACTGGAAGGCCGAGATATCGTCCTTGGTAGCAAAAAGACCAGGTCCCGAATATGGCCGCGAACCTGCCGCTTGCACCAATGCCAGCCTATCATCTCGGAGAGAGGTTCAACTTGAGCCGACGGCCCCCGATAGGATGCCGCTTCTTGGCTGGCTAGGTTTTTAGACCCCCTGGGGTGGCTTCCTGCGAGACACACTTGACTTGGTACGCAGGACGGATACGCCTTGCATTGACCGAACCCGCCCAGGACCAGGCTGCTGCGAACAATATGATCAAAGGGTTTCTCGCAGCTGTTGATGCAGCCACTCGAAGCTCGAGTTCGAGGCTCAGGCTCCCAAGGCGGAGGAGGAGAGTGGAGGTCCGTGATGCAGGCTCCGCGATTGGTTTCCCAAGCCTCGGCGGCACACAGCATGCAGCAAGGGAGGGCAAGGGCAGCAGCAGGGCTTCGATGGAACGATGCTGAGAACATTTTTCCATTTTTCCCGCACTCTCGGTGATGCACACAGTCGGTTGTCAGGGTTCTCACGGCTCGGTCGCCTTCCTGTCTCATCACACATCTCATTACCCCCTGGGTGGTTTGGATGGGACGATGGGACCCTTGATATTCCTTTTTTCTGGATCTGCTCGCGGGTATTCCCATTCCTTGAACGACCACGAGGCGGCAAGATTTGGGCCTCAGCCCCCAGGTTTAAACTTGATGACTTTCCATGGTCCCCACGTTGACTCGCAGTGTTGATCTCCCGCCGAATCCGTTCACACTTTTCCCACGAGCCCGCCCACCTTCTTCCAGCCGCGGTGCTTGCCGATCAGCTCTTGAGATTCCTTTTTCCCCAGTCGTTCCCCAGTTCCCCGTTCCCAACGCATCTCCCACTCGATCCTGCAACTCATTAGATCCACCGCACCGCCCCCTCGGGTCTTAACGACCGAATCGATTTCTCGCTTGACCCGACTGACTGTATTCGCCAACATGGTTTGGGTCGACAACGCAACGGCCGAGATCGATGCCATCTCGGAATGGCGCACTATTGTCGCCATTTGCACTGTTCTCTCGGCATTTTCGATTGCGATCGTGATGGCACGGGTCTGGATCAGGCACAAGAACCACGGGTTGGCGGCCGATGACTGGATGGCGATGTTGTCAATGGCATTTGCCCTGATTTATTCGCTACTGTGCATTGTCCGTACGTGCATACCGCCCCCAACTCCACTACCGATATCGCACTCGCTTCAAACCCGGCTTTGACTAACGGAATTCGCAACTTCAGAAACGAAGTATGGCCTGGGGCTCCCGCTTAAGCTGCGGCCAAAAGAGAACCTCATCCCTTACACCCGTTCCAACTATGCCGGCCGGCCGATCTACCAGATAGGCATCAGCTTCTTCAAGGTGGCACTGTTGATCAGCTACCTGCGACTTTTCAAGGGAACCAACCACATCATCTACCGCCGAGTGGTCTGGGTCGCCATTGTGGCCGTCGTGGCCGGGCACTTGGGATGTGCGCTGACCTTGATTTTGGCGTGCAGTCCGGTAAGTCGGAGCCCGAGACTCCACGCTTCGGAATCACATCACATTAGTGTGGCCGGCTGCTGACCTTGTACGACGTCTAGGTACACAAATCATGGGATCCGTTAACACCCGGCACGTGCCTTGCACCCGGTCCTTCATTCACGGCATATGCCATCGTGACGATCGTGTCCGATGTGGTGGTGGCCGTCATTCCGATCCCCGTGTTGCTGCAGCTCAAGGTCAACTTGGGCAAGAAGATTGGTCTCATTGTCATTTTCCTGCTGGGTCTCTTCACGACGCTGTGCTCGGTCTTCCGGTATCTGCAGATCGACAGGATCCAGTATGGCGACGGCAACTCGACCATGCTCATCCTGTGGGGTGTGATTGAGTTCAACGTCGGGGTAAGTTCCGCTTTTTCCTGCACATGTCTCAGAACCCCCGCTCTTGCTCGGTCACTGTGCAGCTGTCTCACGCTTACGCTCCGCCTTCCCTTAGAACGTGGTCTCTTCGCTACCATTCCTCGCGCCGATCTTCCTGCGCAAGGCCAAGCAGTACACGACCAAATACTCCGGAAGCGGCAACAACTACGGCAGCGGGGCGCGCAAGATCGGCAAGTCGAGCGAAGCCTACAAGCTCAGCAGCATCTCCAGCCAGGTGAAGGGCACCTTCGCCACCGCCCAAGGCCAGAGCAACGGCAGCGAGGAGAACATCCTCAAATCGAGCACCGAGAATGCACCCGAGAACACCATCATGAAGTCAGTCACATACAGCGTGCGAGTCGACTGAGACAGGCGTCATCCACGGCCTGGCGGGCGAGCGGGCTTGCATGGGCGCTTGCAGTGTCTTGGCGTTCACTTACGTTACACATCGATTAGATTCCAATTAGCTTCAACAGGGCGGCGTGACAGAGGGCGGGCGGCGTAAGGGAGTGAACTACTGGGCTTACAGGGTGGGGGATCTGCTTTTCTTGGGGTCTTGTTTTTCTGGGGCAGGCGCCCGAAATGTGTACATGTACATACCTACCTGATTTTCACGACGCTGTCCGATACTTTCCACGATGATGCGACCACAATCGAAGACAAAATAAAAATAATTTGCCTGGCTCAGTCCGACGTTCACCTTCTCAAACCGAAGCCAAAACAAGCTCCGACCAAGTGGACAAGTGTGGAAACGATCGCCTCGACCTTCTTTTCGCACCCATTCCCCTTCCAGTAAGGCGCGCTGGTTAAAGTACACCCCTGTCCCAGATAGCCCCGATCGGCGATCACCGCCTTTGCCCAGCAATCCCCAGCAACAAGCCTAGTGAGCCCAGCAGCCGTCCCGACACTCCGCCGCGGCGCCGCCGATCCCTTCTTGTTGCCGTCCGGCGCACACCCACCACCAACCCACGACCCAACGCAACGACGGTCCCAGCGCTCCGGGACTAAGCCCCATCCCCACCCAACCCTCCTGCAGTGTAGCTGCCACCGCCTGGCCTGCCTCTGCTGGGTCAGTCATCTTCATTCCAGATCCGTCTCGTCAAACTCCAAATCCATCCGCCGCCGGGTCAGCAGCGGGCTGGTTTCGGTGATGCGGCTCCACCGGTGCGCGTCCAAGCACGCCTGGCGCGACGCCAAGACGGCGGGGCGCGTGCGGCCCACCACTTTGGCCTCGTAACGGTCCAGCGCGGTGCGGAGGGTGTCTGTGCCCGTGCTGCTGGTGGTGGTGGTGGTGGTGGGGTTGTTGTTGACGTCGATGGATTGAAATTGGGGGATTACGAGTTCGGCGAGGTCTAGCACGTCTTGGATGGCGTGGTTGGCGCCTTCGCCGCGGTCTGGGGATTGTTAGTTAATTTTTAGTTTTATTTTCCGGTTAGGAAAATAAAAGCACTTACACATGGCCATCGGGTGCAGCGCATCCCCCGCCAGGGCCACATGGCCTGTGGTGCGCAGGTCTTTGGGCGGTGGCCAATCGTAGAGCTCGAGCGACTTGACTTCAGTGCCGGCGGGGATGCTGAGGGCGAGAGATCGGAATGGCTCTGCCCATGTTTCGGCAAACCTTTTGATCAATGCGATGCGGCCCTCGGGTGTTTCTGGACAAGCGATGGGCGCTGCCTCGTTGAAGAAACCCTCGCGGATCGGCCAGGAGAAGACCATCTGGCAGGTGTATTTACCGCCATTGCCTTCCGGGGTGTTGTTGGGAGCATCGAGAACTTCCAATTGCCATCCATGTCAGTTTTTGGAGGGGTGGGTGCACAACACAAGACAGCAAGTACGTGGAATGAAACTCACCACTGATGTACACAAACGAGTCGTTTTGAGATGCCGCTCCCTGGAGGAAGAAGGGGTCTAGTTTCCGCAACGGCTCAATTTCCTCTGGAGTGCAGTCGATCTTAACGCCCAGCAACCTCACAGGGATATGGTATTTTTGCTGCTCTGGAAATAGCAACGCGCGGATGCGAGAGCTGCCACCATCACAGGCCACAGCGAGGCTGCCCTCATAAGACGTGCCATCATCAAAGGTCGCTGTGACGGTTCCGTCCTGGGCGGTCTCAACGTTGTTGACTGCCTTACCCCACTGTTGCAACATCAAAAAAAGGACCGACAACAGGTCAGCTCACCCTTTGTTTCACTTTGCACGACAGAAAACGAGGGTCACATGCCTGGATATCCAGCCCCGTGGCCAACAACCGACGCAACCGGTCGCGCGTCACTCTAATGCGCTGCGACACGGAGGCGTTGGGCGTCTTGGCCTTGAGCTCGCCCGTGCTGAGGTCGAAGAAGGGGAAGGTGGACGGCCGGCCCTCCTCGACGGCAGCCCGGTCGACGTAGGCCTCCGGCAGCCGGTTGAACAGGTCCTCTGGCAGTAAGGCGCGCAGGGCGGGGAGGGACCAGTGCAGGGTCAACCCCCAGCCGAGCCCGCGGGTGGTCAAGTCGGCATCCCGCTCGAAGAGGAGGACGGGCACGACGCTGCCGGTCTTGCGCAGGTACTGGGCCAGGAGAAGGCCGCTGAGACCGGCGCCGATGATGAGGATGGGTTTCTGGTTCGGGGCTCCCATGTTCGGGCGGTTCCAAGGGTGCGTCTGGGTCTGGGCGGGTTCGGCTTCGTGGTTGTATTGGTCGTACCAAATGTAAGGTACGGTACATACATAAACTGGCAGGGACTCAACGCTTAACTGAGCGCGGTGAAACGTGCGTGCAGTGCCCTGCTCATGCTCTTATGTCGCTGTGTAAATTAAAACGGAGAATTCCATCCATCCATGGTGCCCATTGTCCAGCGCATCCAGGGGAGAATGGCGCGCTGCTCCGGAGCCGGTGCACGCCGAACTGTGGTCCCGTTGGCGGCCGACGAAACTTCCATTGATGTCACCAAGAAGCCCTGGAAATAACCCTGGAAATGCAACCACCGGCGGGGTCTGTCCTCTTTCATCTCGCAACAAACCACCCCCAACAGCCCGCAGCCAACAGCTTATTATCGTGCCATGTTCCCCCACCGGAGCCAAAGAAAAGACAGCAATGCCCAGAACGATATCGATACGAACATCGGTTGATTTCTGAGCTCCCTCCTTTCTTCCATACCCTCGGCACTGCATGAATGTCGCTCGGTCGACACCTCTGGCAGGTGCCCAGGAGCACGGACAATTCCCGTCTGGGCGGGCTCCATAGGTACCTCGCACTAAATTCGCGCCGTCGCAAATAGGGTTTGGTTTGCGCTCTGCCCTCTGAGCGTCCTCCATAAAATCCTACCCAAGGACAATCGGCCCGCCAGTTGGGAAAGCCCCCACCATGTTGCGAGCTTTAACTCCAACCTTCTGTCGATCAGCTTCGAGCGATGGAACAGAAGCCCGAGTCTTTGATCCTCCAAAGTGTAGATCCAATTCTGCTGCCTGTGTGTGCCTCCCCTCTAGTTTTTTTGGCATCGGAATTGCGGAAACTCCGCGCCTTGACCCTGAAATGGAAGTCCGAAGTTCGGATTCAACCCGAGGTACGGATTACGAATACAACCTTCCATGCAAATGGCAGATGTCGGAGAAATTGCTAGAAGAACAAAAGCAAGCCCAATTATCCCTCGCCCGCCTCCCAAGACACGGTATGATAAAATACCGGGGGACGCTACCAAACAATTCTCCGTCGTCGTTGTTTCGATTGTTTCGAGAAGCCGCCACCGTTCCCCTCCCTCCCCCCTCTCTTCCCATCCCTGCGTTTCCGGTTCCTGCCCCCCACACGTCCGTGCCAACGCTCGGCCCCCTCGATCGAGATGGGCTCGATCTGGAGCAACAAGGGTCGAGGGAAAACCGGCCCCCTGTGGCTGGCGGTTCAATATCGAACCATCGATTGACAGGGGGCTTCCCTGTCCCGGCACACAACGTTTCTCTTGGATGCCAAGTCGGTGGGTTTTGGGTTTGGGGCTCTTTTTTTTAGTTTGGAAGGTTTTGGAGTGTTGGCTTTTTGGCTCGTGAGCGCGAACACTGTGTGGAAAGCAGTGGCAGGTTGGCCTTCCATTCCCGGATCTGGCTCCCCTTTCCGGACCAATCCCAATGCCGGCTTGGCTGGAAATGCTTGCATTGTTGTCAACCAAGTCTGGATCTATTTCCGCATTTGTGCTTGCATGATGCGAGGCGCCACGGACACCGTGATGGTGAGATTGTTTGTCTGGCTCCCTTGCCTCAGGAGTCAGAACCGCATCGCATCCCTTGCTTTGATCATAATACATTCTGGTCCACCTCAGCTTGACTTCGCCAGAGCCAAACGCGAACCCTGTTCCGGCCGGCTTGAACTGGTTTAACACGGGGATCGAAACCGAGCTGAACCGACGGGGCTGAGCTGAACGAGCGAAAGGGGGCATGAGCAGCGGCGCGAACTAAGAATCCCATCCGACATCACTACAGCCATGTCCGTGTAAAATCCGTGATCCGAGATATTGGAATGTCACGTCACAAAAAGCAAAATCTCCGGCGGGAACTTTCCCTTTTAGCTGGCCTTATCTCGACGACGCAGTCTCCAGTTGCCGAGGAACGTCGCGATTCGATCCCCACGCTCCAAAATTCCCGGTCAGGGAGCCAACGAACACAGGAGTCGGAGGTTTGTGTGGGGGTAGCTATACTCATGGGCAAGGCCGTGTGTGGCGTCTCATCTCAATGCTGTACGGTAACTGTTCTCCCCTGGTTGCACCATGTTGGGAAGCTGAGACGGTGCTCATGTTCGCTTGCCGGCAGTTCAAGTTGCCGCGCCGTTCCTGACCCGGCGATCCGGGAAGAGGGGGGGCATGACCTGGGACAGCGGGCTGGCCCTGGTTTGTCTTCGCTCCATGTTTGGCTCCCGTTTCAAACAGCGATGGAAGGCACTTGCAATGGGGCAGTGGGTTTTGGTTGACTGGGTTTAGTACAATTCCTACGAAAGGATTGCAACCCCCTTGTCCTTCAAGGTCAGGTCTTCATCTATTAACCATTCTCTGTCTATTGTCTTTGCAACTTGGATTCTGGGTATCTTGAAGCAACGAAAACGTGAACTCATTTTAGTAGTTTATTAATTCCCAGCGTTTTATTACACGGACCACTAAATGTCAGTCACCAAGGTTATGTTCTCATCATTTACACGGTATCGAGTCCGGTTTCAGATGATCCTACCTTCAAGTGTTTTTGTATCCAAGTTACCTTCTCATAAACACATTCAGTGTCATAACTCTACTCAATAATTTCATGATGGCTAACCTTATATTGAAGAGTTTACCGTAACTGATTTAGACTCCAAGAGGGCGCAGCGCGGGTATCTCAGAACGCCGGCTATATAGCGTAAGCAAACAAAAGAAAAAGATCAAAACTACTCGCTATCATGATACGTGCAAAGGGCTTATTGTTGTTGTTGCGTTTATCGTCCTGGGGGGGGGTGGCCGCGTTGCGGCCGCCCCCGATGCCACACAATCTTCCGGTGTTCTGGCAGGTATTTTAGGTCTGTTTTAACAGGAATAGCACACCAGTAACAACACCAACGGCTGGCGCAATGTTCAGCAATAGAGGGGGCCGCTTTAGCAGAGGCCAGGGCGATAGTTGAGGATGTGCTAAATTAAGTCTAATATACAATCCGTACTGCTTATACAGCATCTCTAGCGCCTTGCGCCTTTTGACAGCGTTGTACTGTGTACATCGCTGTCGCCACCGCCTCCATTCGCGGGGTACATAGCAGTAGTGTTATGTTCCAGAGCTCACTGGCTCGCCCGGGGTATCACTCGTTCAGTCATAGCCCTGTCGGGCAACTCATGCGGCATTACGGCTACTTGTCGTGCCAGACATAGTCCTCGCGTTTGGGTGGCTTGGGCCAGTCGTATGTAGAATGGAAGAAATGAAAAGGAAAGGAAAGGAACAGACAGGCCGGGTGGAAAGGGAGAAAGAGTTGATGGCGCTCATTTCCTCCCTTCCTAGCTGAATCTCTCCCAGGTATCCTTGACCAGCCAAAACTCTTCCGAGGCCAATCCCCGGCCCGGCTGGAGGAGGGCTTTGTTCCGTTGATTCACGGGGTCATCCATAGGCAATGGATAGGGCTTGCGGGTCGCGGGGTCTATGGCCCTGACGACGTAGATATGGCCACCCACAAGAATCCTCTTCATATGTTCGCCCATCCACACCGTCATGTGGTTGTCAGCTTGAGTAGTGACGTTATGGATCCTGCCGTCGGGCATGCACACGCTATTGCGTCTGCCGTACTTGTCATAGGTGCATTCTCTGTCGTGCATGGCCTTGCGGATGAGGACGCACTGGAACTTGTTGGCCCGGGCAACGCTACGGGCAATCTCATTATGAGCCTGGCGACTTTGGTAACCGACTCTTGCGTCGTCGTCAAGCCAGACAACCATCGGGTCTTCGAGAGTGCCCTTACCGGTTTGGTAATAGGCTGTTATATCCTCGAAGCCGAGCCCGCAGCCTTCGAGTCTCATCCCTGGGACGAAAACTTTGTTGGGTTTGACCATCTCGGATGGGAGGAGGTTCCGTGCGGTGGGCTTAACATCACCCTGCAGTTGGGAGATGCGCCTATGTTGAGTACGGCGACGGGTACCTTGGGGGTTGCCCCAACTATCACCCTGGCCTCTGCTAAAGCGGCCACCTCTATTGCTAGACATTGTGCCAGTCGTTGGTGTTGCTAACTGGTGTGCTATTCCTGTAAAAACAGAATACCTGCCAGAACGCCGGAAGACCATGAGAAGTGGGTAACGAATACCAAGGTTTGCACTCAGAGTCGAGTCGTGTTGGGCTTATTTATAGATAAACTTTTGCAAGCTGGAATAAAACAGTTCGAATTATAATACACATCACAGGTGTACGTTACTTAGGTACATGCATGTAAGTAGAGCACCAAGGCCCAGGACCTGATTGCCTCCCCGAGCACAGATTAGGATAGCTTGGTTATATAAATACTGACAGCATGTTGTGCAATCCTGCTTTCTGTTTTTGGTGCAACTATTCATTCATGAAAGCAGCTGGGACAAAGATGAATTAGTCGACCAAACAAAAAGTGGCGATTTCAGGACCTAATATACCCATTTATTGTGCTGTTCCCTTTCAGTCCACAACAGCATGTTTGAGTTTCATTTACAATGGGACTCGTGAACTCCGAGGGCGGGGCCGGACACACATGGAATGGAAATGAATATTAATTGAAGCTCAACAGGTTGGTTTCGTCCGATCTGCTTTCAAACCACAATCTTCGAAACCGATCGACAAGCACGTCCAGACTCCTCTAAGCTAATTAGATTCGACCGAGATTGCACCCAAAGCACAAATGGGCAGCATCACGACTCAAGGCACTACCTCCAAGTCTAGCTTGGCGGCTGGCCTCGCCGACGAGGCCTTGACAGAAAGCACCCACCACTCTGATTATGAGGATGACCCCGTGGAATGCTTCGACAATTACAAGCTCCTCCTGGATGGGACAGAGTGGTTGGATGGGTACCCAGATATCGAGCACCATCAAAACTATGAACAGAACGGCTTCCATCCCGTCCTTCTCGGGGATGTCCTGGGCGACGGTGGACGGTTTCGAGTGGTTCACAAGCTCGGTTACGGCGGGTTCGCAACTGTCTGGCTCTGCCACGACAAGGTTTCCAAGAAGTGGCGTGCTGTCAAGATCATGAGGGCGCACCCGTCGACCGCTGACTGCCCTGATACGAAAGCCCTCAAACTCTTCGGCGGTATCAGCCCGGACGTTTTGGCGGCCAACGGAGTCCAACTGCCACTCGAACAGTTTTGGATCGAAGGGCCAAACGGGCGTCATCTCTGCTTTGTGCTACCATTACTCGGCCCCAACCTTCTGAACGTCGCCAGGAGGTACTGCCACGTACCCGATCTCATGAAAGACGTCTGCTTCCGGTTAGTTATGGCTATGAAGTTTATACACTCGCGAGGGCTTTGTCACGGCGACTTCCGGCCCGAGAACATCCTGTTTCGGCTGGCTGATGGGGTTGACGAATGGGAAGAGGAAGCCATCCTGGAGCTGCTAGGGGAGCCGGAGACGATCCAGATCCAGCATGTCGAGGGACCCCAAGTCGACCTTGAGCCAGGCATTCCACGCTACCTTGTCAAGCCCGCCCAAATTACATTCAGCGGGGGAGTCTGCTCGTCTCAAGTCGCTGTCATTGACTTTGGTGTTTCATACCCCGTCACCCAGACCCCAGCCGACGGTAGTGGCGTCCCCTTACCATACACGGCGCCCGAGGAGCTCTTCGGCCAGTACGACAGACTGGGTATCCACACTGACATTTGGGCTCTAGGCGTCGCCCTGACCAAGGTTCGGATCGGCGTGGAGCCCTTCGCTGACGACCTCTACAACACGCCGATGGATGCATTGCAGGCGATGGAACGCATCATGGGCCCGCTTCCGGAGCCCTACCGTAGCATCTGGAAAGATCTGGACAAGGTGTTCATCAACTCACAGGACGAGGAGGGTAGTCCCCTCGGCGACGACGACAGTTGGAAAGACGAGTCGGTCATGGCCACGGTTCACACGCTAGACGAACAGTCATCCTGCAAGGAACGGTTCGAGGAGCGCGGCCATGCCCATTTTCTCGGTTTCTGCATGCGGTCACCACGCGTCATGCGCATCACGGAGCAAGAAGCCGCCAAGATCACCAACCTAGCGGCCGCTGACCCCGGCCAGATGCCTGGGTTCAGTCTCACCTCGGATCAGCGTGGCCTCAAGTACGAGGAACAGGTCCAGTATCAAATGCCGATGGACGAGCTCGACCAGATGCTCAATCTCTTGTTGAAGATCTTCCGGTGGCAACCCAAGGACCGGGCGGCGCTCGACCAGATCGCCAATCACGAATGGTTCGGGGACCGGAACAAACGGCAGCAAGCCACCGCTGCGTCTGGCTCTGCCCCCGACCTCGGCTGGGGGCTTATCAAGAAGGTGTGGGAATCCTGGACCTCCTACCCCGGGCGGGTGGCACTGGGACTTAGTAGGGGCACCTGCTGGCTAGGGTGGTTGGCCTTCAGGGGGTTGAGTAAGGTGGGGAAGACAATTTCGCTGATGGCTGCGGCTGTGAGGAGGCGGTTGGAGGTTTGAAATATGGGTTTCGAAGGTGTTGGTTATTGCTGGTGTGGGGATAATTATAGGGAGAATGGATGTTTTTTTTTTTTTTTTTGTTTGTATGCTGGAAGGGAATAGTGGCTGGATTCAGTGATATTGAACTGCGCATGATCAGGTACCTAGGTAGATAGTAATAATAAACATGACAGATGGATGAGTTGGCTAGGTTGTCTACAGAAGATGAACGGCGAGGGGTGACGTGACAAGATACATCTGACATGCTCACCTCCCAAAGACTGGACTAGGGCAAGAGGCAGCGGCAAGGCGAAGAGAAATGGGTTGGCGTAAAAGGGGAACTACCTGCCTGGCTGCCTGGGCGTGTTCTCAAACCGCTGACTCTTTCCGATCGCAGCTCAACTCTCCTGACTTTTACCACATGACCGTCCCACCATCACTCCTCGCCGACATATCGGAGAAACGATCCCTCTCACCAAGCTCAGAAGTGGGCAGAACACTGCGGACATCAATGGCGGTTACTTCAGCTTCTCCACCTTGAACATCCACTCCAAATCCGCCTGCACCTCGAATTCGATTTCCTGGCGGGCATTCAACCGTGGCCGAAGCTGCAACGACTGGGAACCGCCAAGTTGATCAGGTCGCATGCACCTGATTTGGCAAGGGTTCTTGTAAACCTTGATGTCCTTAACGATGCTCCTGCACCCGTTCACTTCACGCTCGCAGCTGTAGATTGGAATGCAGGGCTGGTCGCGGTCGGTCCTTGCCTGGAAGGCGGCGAAGGGCAGAGTGATGGGGGTTTGACAGCTGCCCACGTCTTGATTCTAAACCAATCAACATGGCACAAATTAGCACAAGGTTCTGGAGGGTGAAGTCCAGTTACGAGACGGGGGGAAGATGCAGGGGCGTTCCGGAACGTCCACACAAGAAGGTGCACACAAGACTCAACGTACCTTGGTAATGAACCGAGTCACAAGTTCCTTGGGCCCGGCGCCCATCTAAGCGCCGTAGCTCTTCCGGGCAATGCGGGATTCGATGCGGGGAAGCCCTTCTGAAGGGCCGCTCTGTTGGGTGGCAGGATTGTGGCTGGCAACCTTTGCTACGCCGTGCATGGCTGCGCCGTTCTTCACCGCGAATTGTCTGCAAATGACCCGTGAGGCCATCGTCAGCGGGGGAGCACTAATGTAGTCGTGCTTCTCATCACAGCACTCCAGCTTGGGATATCACGTTAGGGGCCGGACCTACCCATTGCCATTGGTCTCTGTAAAGCGGACGATCGTGCCGAAGTGGGTTCGCAGCTCTTGCTAGAGGAATTTGTTGCGTCCAAATCCACCTACAACGACAATGGCCTAGACATGGCAACAGCTGTGTCAGACCAAACTCAGCAAGAGGAGGGAGGACACTAAACTAGACGTACCTGAGGCCACCACCCATACTTGTTGTTGATGGCATCCACATGTTTTCGTGCGAGACTTACGATACCGTCGGTGATGGATCGGAACGTCTTGATAATGCTGGGAGGGGGGCAAAAGCACCTACTCCCAGGTCGAGGTGTGGAAACTCAGCCAAGCCTGCGGCCTCGGGCTCAAGAATTAGGTCTGAAAAGGTGGCGCCGTCGGTGATTTTAGAGTCGGCAATAGCCTTCTCCATCCGCTCGGCGGCTCGCTCGCCCCAGGTAGCCGGGATGCCGAAGGTGAAGCCCGCCGTCATCAGCTTGGAGGACTGGCCCTTGAGGCGGTCCGCTACGTCGCTCTGTATCTTGGTTTTAGCGCACACCCACATCCTCCTCATGTACTCTGCCAGAACCGTGGCCCCATCAAAACCGGTCGCTGCAATCTTGGAAAGCTCCTGTCGAACAGCCCTGAGGTGTTGTGGGTCGCCCTGCAGTTCGTCGTCGCCAAGCAGTGCAAGCTTGATCAGGGCCAGCTGGTCGCCCTGGAACGAATTGGCGTCCCTACCCCAGTTTTCGTCGTGGTCGGCAGTCCCCAGGACTGTTGGTTGCAGATGTGCTTGGTCGGAGAGTAGAGGCACTGAGACCGGCGGCCCTTCGGCGTTACCGAGGCCGTTCACGAAGCAGTACGAAATCACACTCGTCCTAGATAGATGCGAATGTGGTCAGTGCCACAGTGGGGGATGCCAAAGACCTTCCTTGAGTTCTTTTCTTGTTGGGAGAAAGGCTGGGTGTTGCTTTTCGGTCTTTTGTGCAGTGGTTAGACTTACGAAACCCCGATATCGATCCCGATCGAGACACCCGATGGGATCCTCCATGGTTCGGTTGAGGGCGTGACGGTCAAATAGAGTCCCGGTGGTCGGGCAGCGGTCGGCGGCGAAAGGGAATGAGGTGTAGGTAAATTAGGGAGTGTGGGAAGAGGAATACGAATGCGAGACTAGAGAGGCGAAAAAATCCGGCCAAACGAAGATAACTATTCAGTGACAGAACGGGAAGCGTTGATGTTCAGTGCTGTCCCCCTCAAGTGACTCTGCCTGGACCAGAATGAGAGCACGAGCGACGAGAAGAATGCAAAAATGTTGTCCGTCTGTCTCCATTTGGCCACACGATGGCTCAGGCAACCCCATTACCCGTCAGCTCGGACGCTTTGCTGTCCGAACGCCATTAACTGTGCAGTCAATCAATCGCCGGCAATGAAGCCCGGTGATACCGACGTGTCGACTGTTGACTGTTGACGCATGGTACCGCCTCGGGACGGGAGGTGACAGATGTCAGGGGCGAGACTAGCGCCAATAAATGAAAACGCACCCTCGAAGTGGCGCTTCACACACGGCCGGGAAATACATGTACAAAAGATACATGTATATGTATGTACCTGTACACAAGATATGGTCATGGCACGTACAGTCCTGGCCCCGAGTCGAGCGGAAAGCAGTCAAAGACCAACCCAGATACGGCATCTGGGGTATGTTGTCGTCAATCTGTACATCACCGGCAATTCCTCCACGTTCTTCTCAATTGTCAATTTTCCAGACGGTAGTTCCGTATACCCGAAACGGAGAGCTTGCCAGCGAAAATTCTGACGCAGTGTGTGCACCGCTTAGAGTGGCGGCGGCGCGCCCCATTCTCTGTGCTTTGTGTACTGGTGTGGTAACATTGACCGGTGCCAACCTCACACCTTTATTCCCCTGCCGCTTCCGGAATGTGAATCCAGAGAGCAGAGCCATAAGTCCCACGCACTTGCTCTCTGGTAAAGGCCACGGCGCTCTGTGGAATGCCAACCGCTCTCTTGACAAGACTGTTCCTCTTTGCCATCTGACCGCCATCACCCCTTAGTTCAATACGATCAATCATCCGCCCCAAAGCTCTGCAATGTCTCAGATCAAACGTCAAAAGCGCAGGTCGCCCTCGCCGGACAGTTCCGAGACTGAAGATTCTTCGTCTCCAAGCCCCCCCCGTTCCTCCCCCTCCCCTCCCTGGTCTTCATCCGGACTGTGTCGCCTACTGTTGTAAAAGGGGCACGGACTGGATTAACAATCAGTGCATTCTGGGAGACTACATCAATGGACCTAGTGCAGAGCGCCTGGACACGGCGGGTTACTGGGAACCGTTGAGGACAGAGGTGCGGCTGCTGGGGGGACACCTTCAGAAATGGGGCCTTCTGCCGTGGCCAAGCCTGGACCCCGAAGTTCAAAGCCGGCTGAGCAGCTGGTCCCCAGTTGCCAAGCAGCTCTGGGAGTCCGACTTTCTTGGTCATCAAAAAGCCATGGTCCAGGCCTGGATTTGGCACTATCTCGACGACTACGTGTTTTCTTTTGCGGGCAACCAACAGGACGGCATACTCAAACTCCGTTCCCCGGTGTGGGAGCATGTCCAGGTCCTACGACGGGACCTCGATGGTAAGCCATTCCCCAGCTCTTGAAATGTTACAAACCACGCTAACACACCTCTAGTTCTTCGTGCCCGCGACGCCACCATACACGATGTCGTTTATCGCCACCAGTTCCAAGTCTGGAATCGCCTGACCGAGCACCTTGTTCGAGGAGGGCTTGAGGATAGGGAGTCTTTTGATCAGGCCGAGTTGGTGGCGCACTTTAAACGATCTATCGGTCGTCTCACCATTCTCCGGGACAAGACGCCAGACGATGCCTCCGATGGAGACCACTGTGACGCCGGTGACGCCTCCAGCGCGGTCGACCACTTCGACGCGGCCATCGAAGGCCTACTTAAGTCGGCATGTCATGCGCAGTATTTTATCCACGGCATGGACTGGGGTTATACGCTGAGATTCACCCCCATCGGACCCCACGCGGGCAAGATGTTCGACTTCCCCTATAACCCGGGGTGGATGGAATTGAACAACCCGGTCGAGGTTCCATCCAAACACCCAAACGAAGTCGACCATCCTCCCGTTCAACTTGTTAGCCAGCCCATGCTCGTCGCCAGCGGCTTGAAGGGCGCTAAGCATAACACGACATTCACTCTTCGGACCTCGATGTGTGTTGTCACGCCCTGGACATTCGGGGGCAAGGAGGCGCGCCCGTACGTCTACTACGGCTTTGAGAAAGGCTGGGAGCTGGTTCCATTCGACGTGAGGTCTGAGAACCAACGCAAGTACCATGAAAGAAAGCGGATGGAAGAGCAGCAAAAGTCACAGCCACTCGTCGAGGGGCTCAAGGACGGCGAGTCGCAAGCCACGGACGGCCATGCCATCGACGACTCGGTTGCAGATGCTCCATGCAAATGACTGACGGTTCCCTTTGTCATCTTTCATCAATTCATGGGAGCAGCATCCATAGTAGAAAGAAAAATGACCACTGAGCACCGCCTTCCTTCCGATGTGGACTCAGCTCTCTGTCCAGTACAACACCTATTGCCATGAACCCCTCCGCCGCCGGCCCAATCAGCCGATCGCGATCTGGTGTGGCGCATTTACGATGACGGCTCCTCCCTTGCATCACCATTTCTGTCTCTGTCCACCCCAAAACCGACCGAGAAACGGAGAGCGGCGGGACGCAGTGAGCCGCCCAGAAGGCTCGCTTCCCTCCCGGAGCAAGGTGTCCGTCACATTTCCACTACTTCCGGCCCTGCCATCCCCCCAGGCAGGTCCTCTGGACCAGGAGCGAATGTGGCGTGTGGAAGGAGACGGGAAGGAAGCAAACGACGCAGGGTTCTGGGCCGTGATAATGCGGCAGGTTGGACTGTGCAGGCAGCTGCCTCCCCAACCCCCCCAAGCCTCCTCCCTTCAGCTTCCCACAGCGTTCATCATATCACAGAATGGCGTGAAAACGCCACCCCACTCTGCAAGATCTGCACAAGCCCAACGGCACGCGCACACACACATGGGCAAGGGGTAAAGGGCAAGGGCAAGGGAAATGGGCCTGCGCTCGCCGCGCAAGCCGGGAATCTGCCGCTGTTTGGATCATCGCGGCTGCCCCTGTGGCGTGATAACAACAAGAAAAACTGGGCC